CTGGTTTAGATTCAATTCAGTATGTATGGTGATAAAAGAATGAGAAGAAATATTATATTTTAAGGATATCAATGTAATCCTGAATTATACTCCAAAAGCGTGCAATTTGTCATCACATGAAGTTTTAACTGGGATAAGACAAAGTGGATAATCCTTTTTAACTGGAAAGCAAGTCGTTCTCCTAAATTTAAAGAATTATTAAGTCAGATATGAGTTTATCTATTTTTTTAAAGAATCATTGCTTTTAAAATTGAGGTGCTCAATTGTATCATATGTTGTGATATGATCCAGGTATAATGACAAGGTTAACAATAGGATTATTTCTGTAAAGGTTTTTATATATTAGATGGATATTTTTAATTGTTCATAAGCATGGGATTTTGTTTAGCCCATTTAATCACAATGACATACTTGTGTTCTTTTTTCCTTACTTTAGAATAACTGTTCAGTTTATATTATTTTATTTTGTATTTCACTATTTTAACAAATAAAATTAATTTACAAATTAAAATCACAAGAGTGGGTATGCATATCATTTTGCTTTTCTTTAGAAGGAGGGAGGGAAGGACTTGTGTATTTGTTATCCTTTTATAGTAATTTTCAGGGTTATTTTAGATTAAATATCAAAAGCAACTCAGATTGTGAAAAACATCTATGCACCTGTCTTTGTGTGCATGAGTTTGTTTTAACAGAAGGTTCACATCCAACTCAGGGTAACACAAACAACTCAACTTACAGACAACGATCAGGAAGTCTGATGTAGACAAATCCTAGCAGGAAACTTCCTTGTAATACCAAAAGTTGAGAACAAGTTGTTAAAATATTTAAATAGATACAGAAAACAAAATATCTTCCTACTTAGGACCTGATGAAAAACTGGATAAATGAGTTTAGTCTCTGGTGGCTTGTAAAGCATGGTTTGTTTGGTGATTCTCAAATTTTATTTACTTGTCTGACCGCAGAATTAGAGGTGCAGAAGTTGTGATGCCTAAGCCCATCTTCTCTGGTTCACTCCAGAAGTGTTTTATTATTATTATTTTCACACTCCCAGACATTTGGGAAAGCTGCATCAACCTGATGGATGGAGCCCAGCAACAACGAGTGGAAAGGCTGGTCGATCCAATCCTTTTTGCCTTCAGTAAATTGTTCCTTTATTTACACTCAGCCCACAGAACACATCCAATTTATGAATTTATTTATATCCCACGATTATTATTTTCATAAATAATTCAAGATGGTGAACTTATCTAATATTTCTTCCCCCTCCTATTTTCTCCACAACAACTATTCTGTGAGAAGGGTTGGGTTGAGAGAAAGTGACTGGTTCAAGGTCACCCAGTTGGCTTTCATGCCTAAAGCAGGACTAGAATTCAGTCTCCTGGTTTCTAGGCCAGCACCTTCACTATTAGACCAAACTAGCTGTTCAAATGCCTATTATCATATCACCCTGCAGGTCTATGCAAGGGTTCCCAGGAATATATTTGTAAAAAGCAAAACTGGCACCATACTTCTCCCCCCCACCCCAGCAATGTCTATTTTAAAAGATGCATTTAGTCAACTATCTTGTTCCTCCTCTCAGCTTCCTTCTCTTACTTTTGAAATGTGTCATTACATTACAATAAAAAGGAAAACATAACTCAGAATCCCACAGAAAAAAATTGTGGGGAAGAGCAGACGGTTTTATTAATGCTAATGGTTTCAGCTCAACTGTATACCTACCTTCGGCTGTATAGTACTTAATCAACACCTTTCCCCCCATGAGTCTGGGGTTGATGACAGTAAATTAAAGCAAAATAAAGCAGCTGGGTCCAAAAACCTGCTAAAATGTGATTGGCTAATCTGTGGCTCCATATGGCAGGAAAAGCAAGGTTTGGTGTAGGTGTGTTGTGTGAACCCAGGGATAATTCAGTAACTCCCGCTTCAGTTAAACATGGATTACTTATGCAAACAGCCAGGGAGTGCAACTTCCGAATAGCCTTGCTATTCCATTCCGCTGATGTATGTCTGCAGTAATCAATCATTACAAAGCCAATAACTTTCCTTTTGTTTTATGCATGCACACCTGAACTATTAATCAGTTATAGCTTATTTCAGCAGGACTTCGATTCTCCCCTTTATAGTAGAGTGGCCATATTCTCCTCAATTGTTAATACTTGTATAAAAGAATAGATTTCAGTTAAGTGTCACTTATATGATAAGGGGCATTAGCTGGAACTCCTCCTTTTCTATAGCTCTTAAAAGAAGAGGGGCCCTGCCCATTTTTTTGCATCTGGCTTCCTGGTAAGAATAATCAGGAATGCTGATTATAAAAAGATAAGAACAGAGACAATTTCCAGAGCAGTAGTTCCAGTTGTTGTGTGCTGTCTGCTGTAATTATCCTTTTAGATCATTTGGAAGAGGAACAACTGCCTGTAGTCCTTGTTTAGCGACTGCCTCGTTTAGCAACTGTTTGAAGTTATAAGAGATGAAAAAGTAATGTTAGGACCGATGCTTGCACATTTATGACCTTCACACATCTGTAAAGCCAAAGGAAGTTGAAGTAAGATCATTATCACAGTCATGGTTTCACTTAGTGACCACTTTGCTTAATGACAGAGTTGCTGATGCCAATTGTGGTTGCTAAGCAAGGACTGCTAGTAACATTTACCAATGAATTAAAAAAAGATTGACAAATTTCTGTAGGTTGCAACGACTCAACAGTGCATCTAACAAATAGACTAAAATGCCCGTTTTCTTTCTTGATATGAATCTTCAGCATAAGCTCTTTTCGTATGATAGATTGTCCACTAGCCAAACCTTTTGTCATTCAATTGATTTAGGTAGAAGATTGAGCTACTGGATACATTTCTTATTCGCTGGCTGGATCTCTGACATCAGAAGTGCAATATATTACTTGATTGTGCAAAACAGCCATCAATCACCTTTAAGTATAACAAGCTTTTTCCTGTCTACATTGTTTTCAGTGGCTTTCAACTTAGGCTGCCCAGAGTTGCTCTAGGTAGGATGATCTGTACGTTTATCAAAACAAATAAGTACAATAAAAATAAATTAAAAATGAACAAACATTATAAAAACAAATAAAACAAACATAAATAAGGAAGGGCTTTCCTTTAGTATTTCCTTTTTCTAAATAATGGCTAGAAATCTTCCATATAATTTCTGAAAAAAGAACATAGGGCAAATTTCAGTGATAGGCATCTAAAAGGGAGATAAAGATGCTGTTTCTCAAAATACGCTCTTTGTAGAACCCCTCTATTTTGAAACTTGAGAAAATATGCAAGCAGTTTAATTATACTGATTTTATTGTTTTTATTCAGAATTTTAAATGACTGCTGCCTTCTTTTGTTCATCCTATTCTCTTCTTTTCCAAGTAAGTTCCTTTATACATCTAGAGCTGTATTGTTGTATTTCTCATTAAAATCTTCCTCACATACAAAACTCTGCAGTGGGATACCCTTTACGTTCTCAGGATTTTCATGTGGTGTATTAAATTCTGGGTTTGTGTCAGTACATCTCCCCACACCCCAATTTTGGAGTAAGGAGGGGAGAAACCTTGATATAAGGGGATTGGGGCTCTCTGGTTGGACAGATTAGTCTAATAATTTTATATTGGAGAACCTTGAAAGCAACGGTCTACATGTAAAGCCATCTTCCTTCCAGGTCCATAATAAGCTTGTTAAAGCTTCTGTAGGTGAAAACCCACCTCAACATATGCAATGGATGGCAGGAGAATCTCTGGAATGAATAAACTACCACAGTGATCTTTAGCATTCTTTAGAACAATCAGAGATGAGGTAGCATGGTCAGAGCAGGGTTCCCATGTAGTGCTGCAGAGCTCAATTTATACAGAGAGGCCTAGCTCAGCGACAGAGCACATGCTTTGCATCTAAATGGTGGGAAAGAATGTTACTGAGCAACATAAAAGTGGGAAAACAACACAAGCCAGCAAATCATGATAGCTTTGGAGCAGAAAGGATGGGACATTATGCAGACTTAATGAGATGAAGCCCTGCGTGGTGCAAAATTGTATTAAATTGTACCAAAAGCTTAAAAAAGAATATCTAGCTTGGTCTCCTTCCATGAGTGCAGTTTTGTTACCCAGATCCCTCTCACGGGCTAATCAGAACCTAGCAACTTAATGAGAAAAAAAGTTCGCTAATTGTCAAAGCCCAAAAATTATTAACAATGCAGAAGGTCCATTCCCTGCAAATCCCAAAGGTCTTCCGGACAAATGTATGGGCCAAAATTCAAACAAAATGGGGCTCCTGCTAATCACACAATAGTCATTGTAATTGTGACCTGTTTTAAAATACAGGTGATCCTCAACATACAACTGTAATGGAACTTGCCCATTACAGTTGTATGCTACGATGGTCATAAAACCAATTTTACAACTTTCTGAGGCAGTTGTTAAGCCAACACCATGGTCATTAAGTGAACCAATGCTTCTCTATAGATGCAATTTTGCCAAAAACAGGAATGGCATAATTGAGGTCACATGACTGCAGGATGCTATAAATGGACATAAATGTGGTCGTGTTGCTGAACACCCAAAGTTTATGACTGCAGAGGCCGTCTGACTGTTGGAACTTCAAATCTGGGTCATAAGTTGAAGACCACCTGTACTTTTATGCTACTGTCATATCTGTGATATGAAAACATAATTTCAAAACAGCATACACTGCTTTAGAAGGAGTAACTTGTGCTTGAAGACTCGGTCTTTCTACCCACTGGGAAGGACTCTTGAGTCCCCTTGTCTCCTACCTCCAGGGATCCTATCATAGCACCATGCTGCAATGATTATGGAAAGGAGACCAAAATCAGAATAGCCAGCAAGTCAGCATCAGCAGTTTTGCAGGCAGTTGAGGTTGTCAACATGACAAGCACCAGAAACAAAACATAAGCACATTTGTTTTGTTTGTTTGACTTTTGGTGAAGAGGGAGGAGGAGGAGGTACACAATTATTGGCTTGGAAATAAGCACTGACCGACTGTTCTGACATAACTGACCGACATAAATCATTATTTGTGATGATTGTATTTTATAATTAAGATCATGATTATCACTTATCGCTTGCATATAGACTGAGAGCTTATTCGCAGGAGACAAATTCCTTCTATGTCCAATCACAATTGGTAAATAAAGAATTCTATTCTATTCTATTCTATTCTATTCTATTCTATTCTATTCTATTTCTATTTCTATTCTATTCTATTCTATTCTATCCTATCCTATCCTATCCTATTCTATTCTCCACTCACCACTCCACTCTCCTTTTCCTGTTCTTACTCCGATTCTTATTCTATTATCTTCAGCTGTTGGTCAGAAGAGACAAACACTAAATGTTGGGCATTCCTTTATTCCATACATGTCAATAGGATACCCCTGTATGCTTTGAAAATGATTTGGACAAGATGGTTCATGCAAGGGTAAACACTGCACTTCTCCATTACTTATTAAAGCAGCCTGCCTTTTTAAAAGGTTCTCCGCCGGCCATTTTGGATGCTCCCCAAAAGTCAGATTTAATGAATAACACAAAGGTGCCCCATTCATGCTTATGCAAAGTCTGAAGCACTTTTCCAGAATCATTTCTGAAACATGCGCAACCTTAATAAATGTGTCTTTGCTCATAGTAGCCCAATTAGCAAACAAAATCTGAAAACAATCAACATGCACTAATCAAGTTCAGGTCCACTTAAAATTGGGTATGCTCAGCGGTGCTGGAAGATGGCGGCACTTAAAGATGCTTTTGAATGGCTAAATGTATAATTCATCAAAGTAGAGAAGCACTGAAAATTGCCGGTATGCTTCACAGTGCTACAGGAAAACACGAATCTCAGCCAGTGCAACTACTTATAACACAGTGTGACAGGGGAAAGAAGGATCTGAGCTCGACTGTTTTCTTGCAGGCGTTTCATTACCCAAACTAGGTAACATCACCAGTGCCAGACCTGATGCAAGGGCAAGCACAGCACTTCTCTATTACTCATTAAAGCGGCCCGCCTTTTTAAAAGTTTCCCTTGTCAGAAATGTTGGGTGCTCCTCAAAGCTCAGATTTAATAAATGGCACAAAGGTGTTCCATTCATATGTGTGCAAAGTCTGAAGCCCTTTTCTAGAATCATTTTCGAAGCACGACTCTTTGGATCACAAAGACTGCCCTGGATGAAACTAGATCGTCTGCATTAGTCTGGTTAAAGAAAGTCCTGTTCTTTGACGGATCTGATGAAGTTTGAATCCTATTATTAAAGTCGTCTGCTTTGCTTCCAGTTTTCAAGCTTGAATTTCCACTCTTGCTGCTATTTTGCTTGTTTCAGGATATGACTCTAATGCACTAAAGAGCAGGCCGTGCGGTCACCATTTTTATGTTTGCTGAACAATGGTGCATAACAGCTTCCAGATGGGTCTCTATTCTGTAATCATCTTGTTTCGTTTATGGAGTTTGAAAGGGAGGCCCCTGCAGATAATACCGTCTCTATTTTTAACTCTTCTCTTATTTTGCTTCTCTCTTTTTTTCTTGGGTGCATCCATATGGAAAATCTATCCAGGAGGAAACAACAGCATACAGTAGTCCTTGTTTAGTGACCATTCACAGTCATGATAATGATGAAAAAGTAATCTTGCAAGCAATTCTCACATTTACGACTTTTGCAGCTCTGCAAAGCAAAAGAAAATGGACATAAAATCATTAGTGCACTCATGATTCCATTTAGTGACTATTTCACTTAAAGACCAAATTGCTGGTTCTGACTGTGGTTGCTGTATGGGGACTGCCTGTAGTTGCACATATACACTTGGACTAGGAAATGTTAGGAGCCTTCCATCCAGAGGCACCCAGTGTTTACTATTAGTCACACAAGCAAATTGCTCCAGGTTGACTGAGGGGGACAAGTAGAAATCTCTTTGCTTGTTCTCTTAGGATGTTTACCTCACCAAGGAAAATAAAAATTGAACATCACTTGCACCTGTGTTACTCAGAGATGAGCTTCTATGTAACCTTGGTAGAAGCCAAGGAGCACATATGTACATGTGCAAAAACAAAGTGTACCTCCACATCATCCTTATCAAGCCGGTGTTCTTCTTACCTTGGGGAGGATGATCCTATCTCAGGCGCATTGGATATGTTTTGCATGCAGAAGCTTGCAAACCACTGCCATCTGTATAAAAAAATTTTTAGAGAGCAAATGAAAGGAAATGACTTGACTGAGATCCCAGCAAACAACAGATGGGTCAACGTAGATAATATACTTGGCTAGATCGATAGAAATCAACTTCCTTTGTCTGGAGTCCAATTGATTCTTTTTTGCTGCCAGCAAAGACAAAACCCAGTAACAACAGCAAAACAAAGCTACCTGTTTCTCCATGAGCTCCTGATACCATTCATCCACCAATGATATTCCTTAGATTTTGGATGATTAAATTTTACAGAATCTCCTCTCCACCATTTTTTATAAAGGGTGAAGAAAATGGAGAATAAGAAAGGTCCTTATTGTGGCTAAAAGCCACAGGAGATGATGGTTTGCGGGGGGGGGGGGAGAGAATAATTGCAATAGGCAAAAAGCACTCAAACACCATCATCTTCCTTATTTTAGAGCAAATGGCTTCCAGTCCTACCCCAGGGTTCAATTTTCTTACTGGCTGGAGATATTTCGCTTCTACTATATACTCTCCCTATCCCCATAATCATGGAAGCTGCTCCTTTCAGAGAGAAGCATTTCCTGGGGCTTTTAGATCACACATTCAAAATGTGCTCTTCAGCAGGGAGTGTGTGTGTGGGGAGAGAGAGAGAGAGAGAAAGGGAGAGAGGGAAAGAGAGGGGGGACTGGAGGTTGCCCTTGTACAAGATCTAAGCCTATGACTCAAATCAGCCTCTGAAGATCTCTTTGTCATTGTTACTTATTACCGGAATGGATAGAGGCCATGAATACTTGTTATTGCTGAACAGCAAGGAGAAAGAAAAGGGGGGGGGAGGCCTAGTGTGCTGCCCTGTCCCTTTTCACGTGCTTGCACATCCCTTGCAACCATTTCAACGGCTCGAATCAAGGTACGTTTGCACTAATCGTTACGTGAAGAAGAAACTACCTTACAGTCATATACACAGCAATGTATATCATTTGCCAGACAGCTTAACAAGGAAATCTCTCTTCTGCTGAAAGACAGTGTCCTGTTGTTAGATAACAATTAGGGTGGGATCAAGACTGACAGCAGTGTAATAAAATGAGCTCTGTTGGAAAAGTCTGGCTTGCCTTGCCAAGCAGGCTATGCAGTTCCGAATTCTGAATGTATATCATAAATATTTATTCATTAAGGTCTCGTTTGGCAGGTAGTAATTATAATTTGACATACCAGAATGCAAAGAAAGAAAAAAAGAAAGAAAGAAAAATAGATAGATAGAAAGAAAGACCCAAAACAGAGCCCTATGATCAGCCACAACTGCTTTCTCCAGATGAGATTCTGCCGAAACATTGCTACAACTTTAAAAGCACAACTACAATGACATGGGAAAATACCCGAACAAAGCTCAATGCCATACATGTAAGTACCCGCGAAAACTTAAGAGAATATGTAAGTACCCGCGAAAACTTAAGAGAATATATATATATATATATATATATATATATATATATATATATATATATAAATACATTTTCAATTAACATATATATGTGCTTTGTGAACAGTGTATTGTATGAGTTAGTTGCTTACATAATAAAGTTTTCCCATCTCTTAATTTCTACTTCTATTATCCAATCATTTATAAAACAAATCCCATATTTGAAAATATTCTGCAATTTCCTTCTCTTTAATGTCAGTCTATCCATTTCTGCACAGTCTAACATTTTTTAATTACATCTTCTTCTCTCGGTGTTTCATTTTTCCAATACTGTGCAAATACAATTCTTGCTGCCTTTGAAACGTGCAATATTAAGTACAAATTCCCTTTAAATTGAGGCCAAAATTTCTTAAATTGAGGCCAAAATGTTTCTAAGTGAAACATTTGTTAAGTGAGTTTGCCCCATTTTGTGACCTCTCTTGCCACACTTGTTAAGTGAATCACGGTAACTGTTAAATTAGACAAACTGCTGTTAAGTGAATCTGGCTTCCCCATTGACTTTGCTTGTCAGAAAGTCGCAAAAGGGGATAATGTGACCCCCCATCCGTCATAAATATGAGTCAGTTGCCAAGCACCTGAATTTTGATCACATGACCATGGGGATGCCACATAGGTTACAAGTGTGAAAAACAATCACAAGTCACTTTTTAAATGTTATTATCACTATGAATCGCCACTAAATTGTTATGTCGAGGACTACCTGCACATCTGCCCTATTTCAGTGTAATTTGGAGCAAGCACCAAGGAATCTACAGCATCCAGTATATGTCTACTTTATACTCAGAGTTGCAAAAATAAGATTCACTCACAGGCCTAATTTTGTACTAATTGTGAAGATCATTCAACATCATATCATACTATCAACAGCAGGGGTGTCGAACTCAAGGTCCCAGGACTGGATCCTGCCCACAGGGTGCTTAGATCTGGCCCACAGGGCCGCCTTGGAAACACTGAAGGACTGGCCCACAATGCCTCTGCCAGCAGAAACGGGGCTCGGGAGGGCGTTTTCACTGGCAGAGGGTTGCAGGAGGCTGTCACAGCCGAAATGGAGCTTGGGAACCCATTTTCTCTGGCACAGTACTCAAGCCAGCACAGGTGCTCCTGACATGAGTGACATTGAGCTGGCCACGCCAACTCTTCCCCCACCCCCGGAGATCAAACATAACCCTGATGCAGCCTTCAATGAAATCAAGTTTGACACCCCTGATCTACAGTAAGTACAAACAGTACAAATCATCTTCTGATTATTCTTGGCTGTTTCCATCCCCCACCTTACTTTCTGAATTTGTACTATTAGAGGCAGTTGTTCTTGGGTTCAAAATAGTTTGCCTCATCTCAGCAAATGTACATTTGTTTAATCAATAGGCCCTCCCTCTTATAAAATTCTATGAATTTAGATGACCAGGCAAAAAGCTACATGCTACTTAGAACATACATCCAAGGGGAGTGGATAGAGCAGATGTTTCTCCAAACAGAAACGGCTAGCATGGCTGTGAACTTGGAGGAACTGGCACAGCAGGCAGAGCAAGTGGCAAAACATGCTTCTCTGGTTTGTGTTTTTTTCACACTAGAATGGGAAGGATTATGCAATCCAATGACCTCTGCCTGAACAATGAGAGGGGAGTTGTTCCTGCCTTCCAGCTAAAATACAGATACCCAGGCCTAAAGGAAAGGAGAGCGGGGGAGTTAACCACAAAGTTATTGCTACCTAAGGAATCCACCCAGCTGCTGTATTTCAACCCAGTTCATTCGGTAAGGGAAAAAGTAATGACCAATCCTCGTCAGAGGAATGCCGTTTGCAAAGCAATAGGGAGAAAGTCTCCTTTTTCTTAGTCTTTGATGTATAGCATGGCCTGGCCTTCCTGATTCTAAGATTCAGTTCCCCTAAAACACATATTCTACACTTGCAAACACCAGTGGCAAAATCCAAAAATATGCATGGGAAAATCAGTTGATTGCAGAGGAAAAGGCCATTTTAATTGGTGAGGATAATAACATTTGAAAGCTGAGGGTGTTTTTAGAAGTTCAGTGAAAATAAATTAAGCAATTACTTTGATGGTGGTAGGATCAAGACTAAATTGCACTTAAACACAATCCTTACAGCAAGGTTGGTTGAATAAGTGAAATGACTTACTCACAAGAGAGAAATGACTTCTGCAGCTTCTGAAACCTTTCAGGTGCTATTAGCAATCAGGATGAGTATGTGAAGATGCTGGAAATAAGCTTATCACTTTTCATGCATACAATTCCTTAAATTATTTCAACCTCCTGGGTTCAGCATGGAGTCAGTTGTGCCAATTCCACATGGGAGCTGAGGAGCAGGACACCCCCTCAGCGAACAGAAACTGCTCTCAACCGTCGACCCTTTTCCAGAACACTCTACAGGTAGTCCTTGACTTACGAGCACAATTGAGTCCAAAATTTCTGTTGATAAGAGAGACTGTTGATAAGCGAGTTTTCTCCATTTGGCGACCTTTCTTGCCACAGTTAAGTGAATCAGTGCAGCTGTTAAGTTAGTAACATGGTTGTTAAGTGAAACTGGCTTCCCCATTGACTTCTTGTCACATGAAGTCACAGGACCCTGGGACACCTGCAACCATCATAAATATGAGTCAGTTGCCAGGCATCCAAGTTTTTACCACGCGTTCATGGGGATGCTTCCACGGTTGTGTGAAAAACAATTCCCGAGTGACTTTTTTCAGTGCCATAGTAGCTTCAAACAATCATTAAACTAATGGCTGTAAATCAAGGATTATCTGTATTGGAGGGCCCACCACTGGCTTTGATACGGTTATGTTTACTAAATTCTCCAGAGGTTTGACTCCACCTCCAGGGCAGAGAGTCACCTGCAGGTGTTGCTCCTGACAGGGACTATCCTGCCCTATCCTGCTTCTCTATCAAGTATGTCAAGTGTACTACCTATCCCCACTTGAAGCAATAGGATTTATGTCCTGCCCCCCAAACTTAATCTGGACTTAATCCAGTGACAATTTTTACTGATCTGCCTGTCATCTTGTACTTCATCTGGAGATTTTGGAAATTTTGAGATGCACTCGTTAATTCATGTAGCCACAATAAAGAGTTATGATTCCGTTAACATTCTGTAATGGCATTAGCTAAATCATAACCTTGTGATACTAAACATTCTTGCAGTTTGTCAGTCCACAATTGGCTCTCCACCACAGCTTAACAGGCTTTTAGGAAAATTGGCTCACTGCCCCATGGAGATCTGCTCATCAGTGCAATCCAGCCTTCTGAATTAATTTAAAGCTGCAATCCCACACATTCCCATTTACTATGGCAGAACTGCAGGCCTAACAACTAGAGACTGGCAGAACTAGAGGCCTAACAACGGAGCAAAATATGGTTAGGTTGAGAGAAATGATTTTGGAGAGGGGGAAGAAAGGTAGGAATTTTTAAAAAAAAGCACCGTGAAAAATACAAAAATCTGATTGCAAAGGTCCAAGTCATATCCTGTGAAGACATGAGAGATATCTCATTTTTAAAAATCTCTATCGCTTCCTCCCTTCCAGCGTGTTCCTG